AGAGAAGATGTGAGAGAAGATGTGAGAGAATATGTAAGAGAAGATGAGAGAGAAGATGTGAAGATGAGCAGATATGAGAGAAGATGTGAGAGAAGATGTGAAGATGAGCAGATGTGAGAGAAGATGTGAGAGAAGGTGTCAAGATGAGAAGATGTGAGAGAAGGTGTGAAGATGAGCAGATGTGATGTGACAGCAGGTGTGAAGATGAGCAGATGTGAAGATGAGCAGATGTGAAGATGAGCAGATGTGAGAGAAGATGTGAAGATGAGCAGATGTGAAGATGAGAAGATCTGAAAGAAGGTGTGAAGATGAGCAGATGTGAAGATGAGCAGATGTGAAGATAAGAAGATGTGAAGATGAGCAGATGTGAAGATGAGAAGATGTGAAGATGAGAAGATAAGAGACAGACCCCACTATTGGAAGAACCGTGCGCTCAGACGCTCTCGGGAATAAAAAGAAGGCGTGAGAGAGAAGGTGAGCAGGTGTGAAGATAAGAAGATGTGAAGATGAGCAGATGTGAAGATGAGCAGATGTGAAGATGAGCAGATGTGAAGATGAGCAGATGTGAAGATGTGAAGATGGGAAGGTGTGAAGATGAGCAGATGCGAAGATGAGCAGATGTGAAGATGAGCAGATGTGAAGATGAGAAGATGTGAAGATGGGAAGGTGTGAAGATGAGCAGATGTGAAGATGGGAAGATATGAAGATGAGCAGATGTGAAGATAAGAGGATGTGAAGATGAGAGGATGTGAAGATGAGCGGATGTGAAGATGAGAGGATGTGAAGATGAGAGGATGTAAAGATGAAAAGATGTGAAGATGAGAGGATGTGAAGATGAGAGGATGTAAAGATGAAAAGATGAGATGTGAAGATGAGAAGATGCAAAGATATGAAGATGAGAGGATGTGAAAATGAGATGTGAAGATAAGAGGATGTGAAGATGAGATGTGAAGATGAGAAAATATTTTACAGACCCCCCACTATTGGAAGAACCCTGCGCTCAGACGCTCTCGGGAAGAAAGACTAGACGACGGATGGCCCGAGAGCGTAGAGCAGCAGGGTCTTCTCTTGTTAGTATGGAGACGCAATTTTAGAAACGATGTATGAAAGATGTATTATAGGCAGTCGAGAAGAGGAGTATCAAGACCAAATAGTGAGAAGCTTTTACACACAGTAGCTTTTACACAGACACTTTTACACAGAAAGCTTTTACCCACAGAAGCTTTTATATACAGAAGCTTTTACACAAACACGTTTACACACAGATACGTTTACACACAGACACTTTTACACACAAACCCTTTTACACACAGGAGTTGCTTTTACACACAAATGCTTGTACACACAGAAGGTTTTACACATAGACGCTTTTACACACAGGTACT